CTTGGCTCTCATGTAAAGACTAGGAAAACTTTATCTTAGCTTTAATTTGTGATGATTGCAGTATAAAACACTTTTTGTTTTTCTCTATACTTCTTTAATTTCCCTTCATTATTCTGCTTAACTAATTATTAGTGTCCCAAAGTCCAATCAAAGATTTTCAAGAATATTCATCATTTGAGCTAAAAAAAATCAATAAAAATTACTCTCTTTTACTTCATCAAATATTTTGCTTTGCTATTCATATTACCACTATAAAAGGATTAACGCAATTTGAATTAAATATGTTGCTTGTGACCTTTTCTAAATAATATGATTTATTGATCTAATAAATAATTTTTAAACTAAATAGTTTAAGCTTTCTATTAATACTTCAGAAGTAATCATAAAGCTTTCTATTAATACATCATTTACTCCTTTCCCCCAAAAAATCTACCTATACTATTTTAATTGATAAAATATTCTCTCCATTCCATATTAATTGAATTTTTAGGGATTTTTTCATTGTTCAAATTTTAAGACGAATGTTTGAATTTTTATTTTTTTCCTTTCATATTTCCCTTTTTTTTAAAAAATAAGTTTGATATTTTTTAAAAGATAAATCTCAACAGTTATAAATTTATATTTATAATTTCACAAAACACAATAATAAAAAGTATGGCACAAATTATGTCCTTAAATATTTCTCTTAATAAGTGTACATTATATGGAATCAATAAACATTTTAGACTTACTATTATGATTAAGGCTATTAGTTTTATTTTTCTAAAAGAACACAAAAATATGAAAATAACTAATATGGATCGAGAGGAGTATTATTCAAACAGAAACATTTTTAAGTTTGCGTGTCTTTGCTCCTTTAAGGCGCTCGAGATCATTGAGCTACATCATATTGTTGTGTCAGAATATGTTATTTAACTACTTTATTCACTATTTACTTGTATATACGATATAATTTATCGGCGAAGGGTGTCACATGAGTGTAGCTAAGTGCCTGAAGAGTATACTAGTCATTGGGAATTCTTTATTCCAAAACTTTACTAGGCTGACCTTTAGATTTAAAGTGATCAATAGGATGACTGATACCATGTAAAATAGATCTTGAGTCTAACTCAAGAGAAACAGTTAACTCAAGAAGTGAAGATTGCCTAAGTCATGATAAAGAAAAACAGAAGAATTGAATGGTATGTGAGAAGTTGTGACTTCAAAGAAATTAAAACATCAAAAAAAAATTATAATTAACTTTATACAATAGTAACTCTCATTCTTGTCATTTTTTTTATTTTTTTTTTAAAATGAAATAAAAATCATGAATTGATGCTTAATTAAGTTTGTCTATGGGCAGCTTCAAGAGCAAAAGGTGTAATTTCTGAAGATTTATTATTAGCATGTATGAAGTTATGATGATGAACTTCTTCCAACTCTTTCTTTGTCCTTATAATGTCATCTTGTTCATGCAAATCTTCTTCTACTGAGAGTACTATTGTCTCAAGTTTCCCATGAGGTCCTTCAACAATTGCTTCCTTTATTTTAACATGATCATCAATGTGTTTCACTTCTTTTTCTTCAACTAGCATTATACTCTTCTTCTTTTTCTTCAAGAAGTATGTGCAAAAAGCAAGAATAGCTAGGCCAAGTAAGATGCAACCGAACGTCGAGAAAACGAGTATTACTATGATGTAGCTTTGATCAGAGGAAGGTGGTGGTGGAAATGGGAAGTTGTTATCCATAGTTTTGATGTGTTGGGAAATTGTTATGAGTTTTGTTGAGAGTTCTTGATGATGACTTTTGAAGTTGTGATGAAGAGTATATTGAGTTCTTGGCTTCTTATTTATATGTGTGGTTTAGATCTTATTTATATGTGTGGTTTCCTAAAGGTTTAATTTATTTGTATTACTTTTTCTTTCAGTCAGTTAAAAAATTATTTCTTTTCTTTTTTGGTAATTTCTTAATTTTAAGTTTTAACATGATTTTTGGTACATTCTACATATTTTTATTTTAAAATTACTTATTAAAATATATTTTTTATTTTCTTAAATTTCGTGTTAAATTGAAATCAGATAAACAAAGAGAGTTTTTCTCCTTTTGTTTTTAGGGTATGCTTTGAAGTAAGTAAAGACTTGGCTCAGATGTGAAGATATAGGAAGTCTTAATTTTGATGCGTTGATTGTAGTGAAGAACACTTTTTCCTTTGTTACACTCTTTTACAAACGTAGTTATTTTGCTTTTTAAGTGATCTTCTAGTGTCCTACTCCTCAAAAACATGGAAATTCTACAGGAAACTCAAAGGCAACTGTGGTGTTTGAATTAATTTACATGCACCTCGATTAATTTTATGAAATATATGTCATATTTCATAAAAAACAAATATCAAGTAACTCAACATGCAACTAATTTCACAATACGTGTCAAACTAAAGTCAATGTCGAAGTAAGGATTTTAAATTAGAAAGTATAACATCTAAAGAAAATAACACACGAATAAATTGAAAGAATTCAACATACACTATAAATATATTAAAAATAATTTTAACTATATATAAATACTATAATTTGTTTGAATGAACTCCCTGACCATTAGTTGGCTCAGCCATAGACCAAGGATAGAACAAATCTAAAAAAATCACTTTCACTAATTACTAAAGTCACACCATTAACTCTGCTCTAATCATGATTGTCCTATTTCTACAAGTGTTGAGTGCAAAATAAGTTCCATTATTGATCCACCCTTTTCTTCTCCCACTTCGCTTGAATATGTTTTAATATAACACCTAGTAGATCTGTCGAAATTCTATCGATATACATAAATTTGGGATTGAGGGAGTAATGTATATAATTTGAAAATTACGTATAATATATTATAAATTATAATAATTAACATCATAAAATACTTTTTAAAAAATATAAAAAATTGAGTCAACTTTTCAAATTTTATTTGGGCGACATAAATTGGGACAAAGGAGATAACATATATTATTTAAAATTGACACAAAAATTAAAATACTATAAATCACAGTAAATAATGATTTTTATAAAAATTTTAATTGATCGACTCTCCAAACTTCACAAATTAAAATTAAAAAATATTAAAATATATCGGACTCGCACTTACAAAGACTTCTATCAAGTTGCAGTAACATAGTTACATGATAATATAATATAATAGATTAGTAAATTTCACTTTTTTATTGTTAAAACTAAAAATAAATGAGCTATGTGTGAAATGGATCTTAAATTTCACCGCTCTTTATTTCTTATCACATAAAATCATTTGAGGACATTTATTTTAGGTAGTTATATTTGAGAAATCCATTAAAGCACTTCAAAATAATTGATTGTTGTCATCTTTTAATATTGTGTGACAATATATTAGAGAAAGAATAAAAAAGAGTTATTGTTTTGATTCTTTAATAAAATCAATAGATGCTTTGAAGGATTTAATATGGATGTCACATTATTGTAGGAGAATCTGAATAATATAGGTTAAAGGTGTTTTAGTTGGATATCATTTGACTAGGGTTAGGCATATTATGGTTTAAAACAAAATAAATGACTGAACTAATTTTATTTTTTTAAAAAAATGATTTCAATTTGTTCGATCAATTTTGATTATTAAACCTAGAATTTTGGTTATTTGGTTCGATTTTCGATTTTAAATTATTTTAATACGGTTAAATCGAAAAATCAAAATCAAATTGCACTATACTTACAATTATGAAAATTCTCACAAAAACTTTTCAGAAAAGAATTCTAATTTTTTCATAAATCACTTTCGAAAATTGTGTTTTATTCATTGTTAATGATCTTCAGTATTCTCCCTTAATACCATTAACTAAACTAGTAACATACATTTTCTATTATCACACAAGAACTCCACTTTATTGTATATACTAATGAACATTTTTGTGATTTGCACGGTCATAAAAACTATCTCTAAATTTAGAAATGAACTTCTTATATATTCTTACAAAATCAATAATATATATTAAAATGTTTCCTCTGATAAAATAAAGTAAAACATGAAATGAAAAGTATATAGGTAATATAAGTAGAAATTAATTGTATTTTAATATCATTTCTTAATTATTATTTTTAAAATTTTATTTTTACCCGTATCTAATCTCCCCGTCATTTGTTTATACCATAAATAATAAGCTCTAGTTTAGAAAATATATTATTTTTTCTCAATTTCTCATTATTCTCTTCTTGATTATCTCCGCTTTCTTACCCTACTTCCTCTTTTTATTTGTCTGGATTGTTACTTTCTTTGATCCTTTCTATATATTTTTATTTATTTAATTTCATTATTTTTTTATTTCTCTTATTCTTATTGTACGTAAAAAATAAATCAAATTAAATGCTATAACTATATTTTGATTTAATTGTGTCCTGTGGCAAACTGTTTGTCAGTTACCTCTCTTCCTTAAACTCTCGCTCGCCACTCTCCCTCTCTCGCTCCATCTCTCGCTTTTATACAAACACAAGTGTATACACTTGTGTTTGTATAAAAGGAGGAAAAACTGTATATATACATATATTTTTGTTCCCCTCTCTCCCCTCTCCCGGATCTTGCTCACCACTCTTCCAGATCTCGCTCGTCACCTTCACCTCTATCACTTATACAAACAGAAACGAATTGTATAAATAGTGTTACTGTTTGTATAAAGCAAGAAAAGATTGTATATTCACTTGCAAATGTATATATCTTCGTCCTATATGCTTATATATTTATACAATACAAATATTTCTCTGCCCAATTTTTTTTTGTCTTTCTCTTTTTCTCGTTTTATACATACACAAATTACACAATTGATTTGTATACAACTGATTTCTTTTGGATATGTTTAACGAATTATACACTTGGTTTCTTTGTATATGTATAACAAATTATACATATTTATGTTTGTTATGGAGCACAATTATGCGAACTTTGCTATATGTGAAAGTTGCTCTTTTTTAAATACTTTTTTTCTACTTTAATATTCTAATCACCAATGAAAATTCTAACGTCTTTCATCTTTCTTCATCTTTTATAGTAATTATCTTGCCTAATTAATTGAGTAACTTTTTAATCAAATTTAGATTTTAAAATTAATATAATAGGTACTAACACATTAAAGAGACTCGAATACAATAAGTGATAGTTAATAGTAAGTAATTAAAAATATGAGTTATATGTATTCATGAGAAATATTTGAAGCACTGACTTTTATTTTTTTGACATTTTTTTGTTTTAATAGTAAAAAACAGATTTAAAAATAGGAAAATGGTAAAAAAAATTGAGAAAAAGAAAAATGTGGTTATTAGTTATAGAGTTGGAATACCACTTTGTCTATGCCTAGTTAAATATGAATATACATAGATATTAATTTTAAATTTCCAATTACCATATATTTGGATAAATAAAAAATTGTGGTGCTAATTCAATTTTTTTTATTTGTTAATGTTTTTATTCATGAACTTTTTGATATTTTCATAACAATCTACAAAAATACACAGGAAAAAAAATTCTTACATAAATAACGAACAAAAAAGAAAATAAATCAACAAATTAAAAGAAAAACACACATATAATTATAACAAAACCTCCATCTATTTGCATTCACTACTTAAATAATACATTTCTCCTCAACTTATTTATAATTATTCTTATGATTTATTGTTCAATGTTCATTTTCATTTTCTCATTTTTTTCTTTTTATTAGTATAGTTTTTTCCTCTTTTTAAGTTTTTTTTTCATCTTTTTAGAAAATTATCTACTTAATAATGTACCATATGGTCTTCATTTTGATAAAGACCATGATATATTCTTCAAGATTAATCACATTGATGTTCATATTAATTTGGTATAAGTTCATCAAAATGAGAAGAAAATTTAATTATCTTGAAGGATTTCATCAAGAGAGATGATCATATTAGCACAAATTTTTGAATGATTTCCAAATATTTTGAAGATTTATTCATGTATTATTTGATTTCATCTAATATTATTCTATTTGTTTTTATATTATTTTGATTATATATAAATAATTTCATGTTATTCAACAAAAATAAAATTATGAAACTCTAGTGATCATCATATTAGAAATCTCAATTAGCAATTTTTACTCATTTTACTTTGCTCTTCTTTCTTATTATTATGTGAATGAACGAAGAGAACCCCCTACCCTACCCCCCGGAGTCCTCAGGGCGCACGCCCCGAGAAACCCCCCCCCCCCCGAGTCCTCAGGGCGCACGCCCCGAGAACCCCCCCTTGGAGTCCTTAGGGCGCCGCCCCGAGAACCCCCCCGGACGTCCTCAGGGCGCACGCCCCGAGAACCCCTCCGGAGTCCTCAGGGCGCACGCCCCGAGAACCCTCCCCCTAA